AGAACACATATTATATACACAAGATAGTTGAGATAGCATTGACAAATTTGAAGGAGAAGGAGACTGCAAGCGCCGTGAATAGAAGTCGTTCGGAGTTTAAAAAAGAACGACTCTCATTATACTCAACCGATCTGTTCAGCAAGAACTGTTCACCTTCAATTTGAATCTCCCGCTCTTTGTCGATCTGTTTTGCTTGTCGACATTTTGCGTGTCGATAAAGTGGGAAAATTTACACAACCGTCCCACATAACAGACATCCCACATAACCGACATCCCACTTTACAGACATCCCATATTACCGACACTGTCGACATTTTGAGTTGTCGACAAAGTGGGACTATTTCAGTGTCGATCTTTTGGGATGTCGATAAACTGGGACCCCACGACACACACAACACCTCTTCTTGTCAGTCAGTCAGTCCAAGCTGTCACTCACTCTCACACCTACAATAGTACACATCCAAGATCCAATCCACTACAAAAATTTGCACTCCCACTGGAGGGAATGGTGGCGTATGTCATCGGTTAAAAAGTTCAATTGTACCATATTGTACCATCACATAAACAAGAAAGGCACGAAAGGAGTCTCCGATTATATAATGATTCAGATAAAATTGTGTACAAATATTTATATTTTATCTTTATAAAGCTCATATCATAGTCTCAGTAGCAACCAATGTTCTTATAGACTAAGAATAAGCAATACAGATTTCTACATAAAAAATATCTTTGACTTTGAACGGTTTAAAATAATTTATTCTCAAACTGTAACAATAAACAATAGTTATTTGTGCAACTAGTGAGCAAAGTGAGCAGTTGACTGACTCGAGAGAAATACTTACTCACGAACCGTAAGCGAGTGAGGAATGGTTTCTCGAGTGAAGCAATTACACTTTGCACTCGAGTTGCACATTATATTTTTCCTACAGATACCATAAAACAAATAAATTGGCAAAGAAACGTAACATATTTTTACACAGAAATTAACTTTTAATATGACATTTAATGATACAACATACAACAGTACCTACAACAGCTGACCAGCTGATTTACAGCCAGTGCTGCCAACGTATTTCGCGCGCATACGACCTTGTCAGCGTGTTACGCGCTCACTATTTTGTGCCTTCACGTTGCAAATCTGGAGTGAGACAAATTAGAGTGAGCGAATTGGCCACTTTGCTTTCTCAAATCAGTGAGAGAACATGTACATTTGTTAGGTAACTGTAGGAAACAATGTTAACATTGTCTCACTCGCCCCAGATTTGCAACGTGAAGCAACGAAATAGTGAGCGCGTAACACGCAGACAAAGTCGTATGCGCGCGAAATACGTTGGCAGCACTGGCTGTAATTCAGCTGGTCAGCTGTTATGCTGTTGTATCATTAAATGTCAAGTTCACTTCTGTGTAAAAATATGTTACGTTTCTTTACCAATTTATTTGTTTTATGGTAACTGTAGGAAAAATATAATGTGCAACTCGAGTGCAAAGTGCAATTGCCTCACTCGAGAAACCATTCCTAACTCGCCTACGGCTCGTGAGTAAGTATTGCTCTCGAGTGAGTCAATTGCTCCCTTTGCTCACTAGTTGCACAAATACGGTAACTATTGTGCAACTAGTGAGCAAAGAGCGCAATTGACTTACTCGAGAGTGGGGAATGGTGTCTCGAGTGACTGAGTGAGGCAATTGCAATTTGCACTCGAGTTGCACATTATATTTTTCCTACAGTTACCATAAAACAAATATATTGGTAAAGAAACGTGAAATATTTTTACACAGAAGTGAACTTTTAATATGACATTTAATGATACAACAGTACAACAGCTGACCGTCTGATTTACAGCCAGTGCTGCCAACGTATTTCGTGCACATACGACCTTGTCTGCATGTTACGCGCTCACTATTTCGTGCCTTCACGATGCAAATCTGGAACGAGTGAGAAAAAGTAATTAGAGTGAGACAATGTTAACATGTCTGATGAGCGAATTGGCCACTTTGCTTTCTCAAGTCAGTGTGAGAACATGTACATTGTTAGGTAACTGTAGGAAAAATACATTATTTGAATGACTCTATCCATGGCCACCTCTAACTACAGGCCGCGGTCTGGTAGAATTGGCAACGTCGCAAGTGGTGGTGTTTAGTGACAGACGTCCCATAAGATAAAATGGCAAACAGGTGACATGTTCATTAATTTGCACTTTATTGATACAAACTTAAATTTATGAACATAAATTTATTAAAATATTAAAAATAAAACATACAGAATTGAAAATAAAAACAATATGAATTAAAAATCTACATTATTTAGCTAAATCTGTTCATTTTAATTGGTTCATAATGATGTTATTCGGTCCAGGATCATTTCTTGAAGATTAAAACACTGACATTTATTTAAATTAAAGTGTTTTGTGTGTTTATAAAACTTGACGACCTCGCAAGAGCGACAAGAGCCTGATAATGAGGTTATAACCTCGAAACCGGTAGCTCATTACTACAAATTTAGGATCATAGACGGAAACAGGTAATCTTATACCATTTTAATTTTAATTTGAGTCAATATTGTCATAGTCCAGTAACCAAGCTTTCATAAATACACAAATGCAATTAGCTGCTTCCTATTTTTCTAGTATTCGTGGCTGCTTCCAAACAAAACAGCAGCTGTTACAACACCACTTGTGACGTTGCCACTTCGAAGGCCGCGGCCTGGAGTTAAAGGCGGCCGTGCTCTATCACTGCCACCTAACCTGGACCACCTTTTGGGAAATTAATCATGCCTTGTTCCACAATCATTTGAACTATGGTCTTCTGTTGTGGGGACACTCAGCTGCCTGCAGTGATGCTCTTATTCTAAAGAAGAAGGCGCTAAGTGTTATGGCTTCGACTGATGACCTTGAACACTGTAAGCCTCTTTTATTAAAAATCAGGTTTTTCCCATTAAAAATCAGATTTTCCCAGTTTATAACAAGTATATTTTCAACTCTTTAAACTACATCAAACGGAACATAAATCTTTTTAAGGACAGAACTACCATACACCAATATCAAACTCGTAAAGCACAAAACCTGGAAGTCCAAAGATGCAGACTGAGTAAAACGCAAAGATATTTCCCGATTGCAGCCTTAAAACTAACTGTTCAACAGCCTCACAGCTGACGTAAAAATCCTCATAACTTCAAATTTGAAGAACCACAGACATGCACTTTTAGAATGGCCAGGATAAAATGATGTATGAAATGACTCCCTGAATGATGCAGGAGAAATTCCATTAATCACGGGAAAGAAGTAGCCGAAAGGCACAATTTTTATTTCAGCTGCAGTTTTTTAATAAGGACAAAATGAGAGTTTAAAAAATTAGATATAAAAAAATATTATAAAACTAAAAAATATAAAATTAATTTTTTAATTATAAAATTAAACTGTCATAACCTAACCTAACTAACCAAACTTGCTGATAATGAAAAAATTTAATTAAGGTTTACTAATCGAAAACATAGTTCTGTTCATAAAATAAAACTATAAATGCCTCAAATTCAATTTTATATTTTTTTAGTTATATAACTAAACTGTCATAAACTAACCAAACTTGCTGATATGCAAAAATCTTAGACAAAAAGATTGTGCCACCAATAGGATTCGAACCTGGTACCTTCAGCTTCTCAGCCCATCTCGTTATCCATTACTTAGACCACCGAGGCCGATGGCTCCAATTCGCATCGTTGCGGTAATGGTGTTCCCTCAGCCAATAGAATGCTCTCATTTTGAGCGTGTTAAAAAAACTGCAGCTGAAATAAAAATTGTGCAGCCGAAAGGCATCTGACGCAGACAATCCTACAAGCTCGGTCAAAGACGAATACATCAAGTATCAAGTAGGTAAGTAACTTCAGGAGTCTATGCTTCAGGCCTTAGCCTGGTAGAATTGGCAACGTTGCAAGTAGTATTGTTTAACCAGCGCCAGACGTCCCATAAGATACGTCACTTTGCAATGGTGTTTTGGATGAACTCATCTTGGAGTATATGGGGGGAGGGTACATAACAAAACAGCTGTTACAACAACACTTGCGACGTTGCCACTTCGAAGGCCGCGGCCTGGAGTTAAAGGCGGCCGTGCTACTGTTCGGATTGAGCTGAAATTTGGTGGTATGATGTAAGCTTACGTTCCCTCCCGTTTAATAGACGTACTATTATCTCCAATATCCTTTTTGGATCTACCCCAGTGGCTTTGGAAATTCACATGATAACCTTATCAGTTCAGTATTCATATTTAAAAGGAATTAAGGAAATTTTGCCAGCTGTATTTTGTTTTATAGAGTTGGTTCTATGACATTCAATAGTATGGAAAAGTTGTTGGGTTTACCAACAGCTAGGGTGCAGCACTATATTGATTTTTTTTTCATTTGAAAACACCTAATTTCAGCCAAAAAGCTGTGATACACAATGGGACCTGTCAAAGTAGGATTGTTTACAGTTATATGCTTATGTTTCTGATTTATAAATAACCCTCCCATTGCAAACGCAAAGCACGAGTATGTAAGATAACTGCAATAAACATTTTATACTTATACCATACCATAGACAAAGTATACATATGCAGACAATGATGGTCTGTGCACCCCTTAAGAAGGACGGGTACTTTTATAGTAATTAATAAAGTCAAGTCTCAAGTGTTAATAATTCATCATACAGTTGGGTTAGTTCAAGTTCACTCAACAGTCGCACAAGTTTTACAATCGACAGTTTTGCAACTACTCAAACTACTGCTACTGTCCCTATATTAATAAATTGATAATTGATATACGGTAGTTAAGTGACGTCATGATCAAATTCTGACTATTCTGAGGGATCCCAAAAGTTGCCCACCATCGATGCATTGCAATGGTATGCGTAGAAGAGAAAAAAAAGAACGCAGACTTGCAGAACAAACAAGAAACCAAGCCTTGAGCCTTAAGAGATCAGAATAAGGAAAAAAAAAAAAAAAAAAAAACATTGGCTGTTTGGCTTAAGCTCGAATAAAAAAGTTAACCTCAAACTAACCTCAATTTCAACTCAACACAATTACACAATAACTTACTGTATATGAATTTGTATGATATCACTCTAATTATACCTTATGTCAAATTGTTTTAAAGATTTATGTAATACTGATTAAGATTTAACTAGTGAATGCTCTGAAGAAAGGAAGGAATACAAAATGGGAAGATAGGTGGGACAATGTGATTAGGCTAGGCTATGACTTGTAAAAATAAGGTTTGAAGTGTAAAAACAAAAAGATGTGGTTTAGAGTAACTCTAATAGCCTACTAAGTTAACCCTATATTTATAAAAAAAATGGGAATTCCTTGTTTACCTAACAACCGAACTAGTTTTTATCTGTGATTTAATTTAATCTAGGGGGCTTTATTCCGGTAAAAACTAAGTTAGCATGTATTCAGTTTTAAATTATAGACCATTATCAAAGTGTATGTATCAGTACAGTTTGTGCAGGAACTTATTTTCGATTGTAGATAAAAGGATTTGTACTTTTCAAGTGTGTTGCAAGAGAAAGAAAAATGAATGCAACACTAGCAGCAGTTCTATATACAGGTACAACAACCATCAAGCGGACCTGCTCAAAGTTCCTTTTAGGCCTAGTTTAAACCAAAGTATTACAAACCAGCTGTGCAGATTTAGTTCAGATGTGAAACTGTCAGCCAAAAAAAGTGAACAAACAAGAACAATTGTAAGCCTTCCTGCATACTTAGTGGAAAACTCGTCAAGTTCTATAAAACCTTATTTAAGGTTGATGCGCTTAGACAGACCTATTGGTAAGCCTACGTCTGATTAAACCATTTAGCCTAATTTTAGTGCAGAACTTTGATATCCAACTCCTAATTGTATTATTGGTTTTGGCTATTGGAGTAGGTAGTTGCTTAAAACAAGAGGAAACAATTTCAAAAATGCGAGCATTTTCAAATCGTTGCCTTTTTGTTCAAGCAACTACTCCAATAGCTAAAAACAAAATGGATATAATATGATTAGCAGCCCAGTCAACTATAACCTACGCTTACTAAAACTTACCTATACCTAATCTAACTTTACCTTCAAAGGACATGCCATCACGAATCCCCATAAACCATGACCGGCCCTCTCCACATACCGGTACCTTTTATAGAGCCGATTTATGAACTCAGAGCAATTTTGGTTGAGTAAGTTTAGAACAGTTTCATTTTACTGTACCGTAGCAAATTAGGCTACCAATATTGGAATAAGTTAAGCTATTGTTGTCGGTCTCATGGTAAGACCTAATTTAGACCCAGGACCGATTTACTTTTTTGTTTTGAGGTCCCCAGAGGCCAAAAACACCCTCTGTTTAAATTCATATTACCTAGGCCTATATTATATACCGGTACAGTAGCCATATAATGTAGGTAATACATATGTATATATAAGTTATAGCCTAGGCCTATATATATATATCTAAATATATAAAAGGCAAAGCCCTCACTGACACACTCACTCACTCACTCATCACTAATTCTCCCACTTCCCATTTACCTAGGAGGCTGAAATTTGGGACACTGATTCTTTAGGTATTAAATAGGAAAACTAAGCTATTTTTATTCTGATCGGACTCTCGGGCTCCGCCCCAGTGGCTCTGGAGTTTCCCATGTTAACCTTATGAGTACTCATATTTAAATGGAATTAATGAATATTAACAGCTGTTTCAATTAAACAAGTTGGTTCAGTTCTATGATGTGCAATAGCATTTAAGTTACAAGGATTACCAACAGGGTGCAGCACTATTTTTTTTTATTTATGACTACAGCTAATTTGCAACCAAAAGGTGAGTGAGCGTAGCGAACAAACTTCAACCTGGAGGCGAGTTAGCGTAGCAAACGAGCTAACCTGAAGGCAAGTGAGCGCAGCGAACGAGCTCCAACCTAAAGGTGAGTGAGCGTAGCGAACGAACTTCAACCAGGACTTGATTGAGCCATGCGAACGAGCTCACTTATGAAGTAAAACGGGGCAAAGCCCGTGGGTACAGCTAGTATATATATATATATATATATATATATATATATAATTAGTCCGGCTTAACTATATTCTTAATTATATATATATATGTGTGTGTGTGTGTGTGTGTATAACATATATACAAATAAAGTCGTAGATTTTTACCACTAAACATAAATGGGTTATAACAACAACCCGGTTGACTATAACCTACACTTTACCTTCCTAATCTAATCTAAAACACTTTATGTTGCCACAAATGGACAGTTACGGTAGATATTACAACCATAATCATTTTAATTTCTACCCTCTAAGTTACAATATTTCTTTATTTTGGAGTTAATCCTCCAAATCACTGATCAATACGTGTTCTGGTGCAATTACTGATCACTTGACAGCAGGTAATTGCACCAGTACACATTCAATATTCCTAACTCGTAACATTATTTAGTAGGTACACGGTAATTTAATGTTTGTTCAGGAACATGGTTACTGTTCTGGCCGTGTGGATGGAGTATAGCGATGGCAGCGTCCCCTGGATGTCTTCCACCGTTAAATACTCTTGCTCTGTTTGGAGCCGGAGCTCTGGTCATGCGAGGGGCAGGCTGCACAATAAACGACATGTGGGACAAGGACATTGATGGCAAGGTAACTTGAAGCAATTCATTTACGCAGTTAGGGCCTTGTTGATAAAATTTATTAAGCAAAATCAAATGTAGGAAAATAGTTAACTTATCTGTGTCAGAATTCATGGCTTTTTTGTGATAGGTAACTGTGTCGTCAGATGAAATTCACCAGATGTTTTGTGCTTGCTACAAATTAGCATAGTGAGTGTTTAGTAGGCTGAGGATAAGTTTGGGTTGTTCGTCCACTATTCCGGTAAAGTAGAAAATAATCACTGGTATGCTATAATGTCGCCCTGGAATTGTCCTGCACATCCATCTAATCAATAATCTTAGTTTAAATACCGTTACAAGTTTATTAGTACATTTAACTCAAATTTACTTTTGTTATTCGACAGGATTGAAATTGGTTTAACGCATGTAAGGGAACGATCAAATTACAGTCGGGGCCACATAAGTTTGCAGTTGAGGGAGGAGCCTATTTACCATATGGTTTTGAATGAACCAATGGGAACCCTGCGGTGTTGCCAAATCTAATAATAACGGCTGATTTTAATATATTGCTTAGTATATTTTAATTAGTGTTGTCAACGGGCGATGTGGTAACGTCGCACTAGCCTTGTCTTGTGATTGGCTCCCACCAACTGCAAACTTACGTGGTCCCGACTATAGTCAATGTGTAAGCTCAGACTCAACCCTAGAATGCCTGTGTTAGATAATAGTGTGCAAGCGCTATCAGAAATTAAAGTAATTACTGTAATATTTTCACATTTAATTTGATCTAAATATTGATGGGGTGTTCAATAAAATACAGTTTATCATGGTGATAAACATAAATAAATATAAAAACGTACACAATACTTTCTCTGTCAAAATAATTTCATTTAGGGATAGAGTTACCTAGAGTCTATAAAGCCGTGTTTACATGAAGGCAGTACACACACATTTTAACTCATTTTTTTAGAGGGCAGGTTACCTCTAGTGTATTTCAAGTTACCTGTATCTTGTCTTGTATTTTTTAAAAGCAGGTTTCTTGATGTCCTTGACTCCGCTTCCTTAGCTCTGCAACAAGTAAGTACTAGACAACATGAAATTGAAGACAAAGATATTTCCTTCCTGTCAAGTATACTCGACCTCAGACGATTGTCCATGAATTCTGCTTAATAAGTTTGAAAGACTTATTCAGGGTCAAAAAATCTTAGACTAATGACGAATGAAACAGGTAAGCCAGATTCTAAGTAATGTTTGTAAGTTTTAACAACGTTTGTTTGACCGCAGGTTGCCAGGACTAAGGACCGACCGCTGGTGAGCGGAGAGTTGTCCCAGTGGGACGCTCTAGTGTTCCTCAGCGGTCAGTTAGGCCTGGGACTGCTCATATTGCTGCAACTGAACTGGTACAGCATCTTACTGGGGGCGAGCTCTCTAGGTGGGTAAACCAGTAATTTTTGGTAAAATAGACTCTCGATATCAACAAAACCCGTTGGTTTAATGAAAATCATACTTAATCTACAGGGTGTCCCATATACTCCCCTGGTTAATTTTAAAATGGCTGCATATATTCAAACTAGCTTCGATACATGTTAGGAGGGTAATTAAAAATACTTTTTGGTGGTATTTTGGGATTCTACCCCCACCCCCTAATAGGGGTTGCTGGGGGTAACCTTAATTTTTAAATGGCAACCCCTATCAAGTAGCACATAATTTTACAGAGCTTTAAAAAAGGAAATTAATGCCACAAATCTGACTCTGATACGACAATTTCTAAAAAGTGATGGCAAGAAATGCTAGACTTTAATTTAACTGGAACTTTACATTCCATCACTTAGTGATGTAATGTAAAGTTCCAGTTTAATTAATGTCTATTATTTCTCAACTTTTTGAAAACTTGTCGTATCAAAGTTGGATTTGCTGCATTAATTTCCTTTAAGGTCTTTAAAATCATGTGCTACTTGATTGTTGCCATTTAAAAACTCAAGTTACTCCCAGCAACCCTTATTTTGGGGAAGGGTGGTAAATTTCAAAATCTCACCGTAAAGTGCTTTATTTTATTTTAGTTATGTTTTTAGAAGCTCAATCATTTTAGCCTCTGGATTGCTTATATAATCAATTAATAATGTTAACTCTTACCTTAACAATCCTTATTGTGGTTGTCCGATATTAATTTCGGACCCGTAGGTCCATCTTCAGTCGGAAGTTTAGGGAGACCAAATACTTATTATAGGATCCACCCGATGGGTTTCGTAGAAATTATGTTGACATTTAACATGATACACATTAGAGATGACATAAATAATATACAGAGGTTAGGGGTAAAAACCATGGTTTTAAAAAAGTGGGATAACCTCACTTTAATCAGGGAACACATTGCCGACAGAACTGCCTGACTAACTTGACAGTTCTGCCGGCAACAAGCTTTGAATATATGCAGCCGTTCATTTAATAAATTAACCATGGGTGGAGTATTATGGGACACTCGGTATTAGATAGGCCTAAATAGAGTCAACTCTTGGAGTGTTTTTGTCTGTGCGAGTTAAGGTTGTAGGCCAGTGAGTTGTGGCTGTAGAATTAAGAGGATAGTTGCTAGCTTACCTTAGAAGAATTACAGGTAGGCTGTAGAACACCCAGAAGACACAAAAAACACAACATGCCGTCCCCCGGGGGACTTTGTAAAGTGTAGAGCAAGAGAGTTTACCAAGGTGATTTTCACCTTGGTAAACTCTCTTTCTCTCCATGCTTTACAAAGTCCCGATGGGGACGAAATATTGCATGATTTATGTGTCTTCTTGGAGTCTTTAGTACTCCTCGCCTATTGGAAGCTCAATTATAGTTAGTGAACAAGTATAAACTATATGATTTAGCTTATTAAGCTTCAGCAACTAATGCTAGACACCACTTAAAAGACCATTTAATGTTTCCTCTGTACCTTACTTCTCTGTGAACATATGCTTACCTGAAAGGGAAAATAGTCCAATCTGAATGACAAAGAGTCAAATCTGGCACAAGAAACACAAAAATATACACTTTATACACAAACTAGAATACTTTTACTGTCTCCGACAGCATTTTCTACCAGGGAAGATTTCTATTTTTTAGTGTGTTTTGTTGGCAGGCCTTGTGGTGCTGTACCCACTGATGAAGAGGGTCACGTACTGGCCACAGCTCATATTAGGCATGACGTTCAACTGGGGTACTCTATTGGGCTGGTCGGCAGTACATGGAGCTTGTGATTGGTCCGTCTGTTTACCACTCTACGCTGCAGGGATCTGTTGGACCATAGTGTATGATACCATCTACGCTCATCAGGTACTGCACTATGCTAGTCTATAGTGTTCAGTATCCAGTTTATATCAGCAAGCAATAATTGGATTGTTAAAAAACCTTTTTTTTATTACAAAGAGTTGCTTACCGGTATTTCTTATGATTTCGGTAATCTAATTTGTCTGAAAATTGAATTCAACCTTTTTTACCTTCTTTCTAACTGACTAAATAGCTACCTATCCGCGACTGTACAGTATGTAAATAAAAGTATGCGAAGCCGTTCAAACCGTTTGAAGAGTTTCTAAAAAATAAATAATATTTTAAGCTAATACTTACCATACCATATCGACTAGATTTTGACCGCCCTGATTGAGACCCCACGTTCCACCATCAAGATGTTGGACCCAGCTTGCGTCCTGATAGATGTTGAGATGATGTAGAAGTACTGCAATTTAATTTAATTACAATTATTTCAAGAACCAGTAATTGTTATATGAAACTTCTCACAACTAACATTCAAATTTGTTCTCAGGACAAGGTAGACGACCTCAGGATCGGAATCAAGTCAACAGCTCTCAAGTTTGGAGAGAACACGAAGGCCGTGTTGTCTGGTTTCAGTGCTGTGATGTTGACAGGCCTGGTGCTCAGTGGAACGCAGTGTGGTCAGACGTGGCCTTACTACACGTCAGTGGCTGTAGTAGCTGCACATCTTGCCAATCAGGTTAGTGTCAGTGTACAAAGGGATAAAACGCTTGTAAGGTATAGTGGTCCAAACTAAACCTTGTTGTTTTCACGGATATTCTATGACTTAAACCTCCCCCTTACCAAATTCAGGAACAATTACTACTAAGCTTAAAGGAAGGCCTAAGTGGCTGATGAACTAGATTTTTTTCAGTTCAGTGGAACACTATCCTTACTTAACAAACTAAACAAATTAAGGAGACAAAGGGCAGGATAAGCAGGCTTACCTTAACAATTGTATGCATCCCACTTCACTAATTAACACAATAGAAGACACAAAGAAAACCCTGTCAGGAAAAAAAAACTGTCTTTGTGTCTTATTTTGTGTTACTTCAGTGGTATGTCTACAATTTTTAAGGTAAACCTGCTTATCCTGTCCTTTGTCTCCTTAATTCTCAGGCAATGAGCCCTTTCCAATCAAACTTAACCTTAAAGAAATTAAATTATTAACTTACCTGGTGGGTCGAGGGCTCAGTCGGTAGCGCCTCGGTCTTCGGGACCAAGGCAGCAATCTCGTGAGTTCGGATCCTCGTACCTGTCACTACTTTGTATCAGTACAGTTCACCCTTATACTGTATCGGGTCATCCCTTGCTTTGCTGGTTACGTTCTACACACAGGCCTCTATGGCCCATTTGGACAGACAAATGCAAGGTAAAAGAGGATGCCATTTTTACAATGAAAAATTTAAATACCAATTTATTGGTGTGTCGGTTCAAAAGAGCCGACAACAAGCCTTATTGCCTGTAAACTTTAGGCTACTATTATGACGTTCATCCATTGCATGTGTTGTACATAGCGTTAACGATGAATAAAAATTCTTGATTCTTGATTCTTGATTCTTGAAAGAATCAATCCTTTACTGACCCAGGTTTGATATTTTTTATTAAAAATTTTGATTCAAAGAGCAGGTTTACCTGTACGGTGAGTGTTCTCAATAGGAAACACATTTATGCACAAACAAGATTGAAATATTTAATGGTCACCAATTACTTTGTTAATCACAAAGAAAGGAAGACTGTAATGGTGGTGTAGGATGCAGTAGTACCAACCCTCTATGTTGGCAACACAAAAAAAGTCACTGCAAAAGTTGTTAATCAAATTAATTGTGTTTGTGTTGCCAACATAGATGGTTGGTAATACTGCATCCTACAACTCCATAACAATCTTTCTTTTGTTGTGATTAACAAAGTGATAAGTGACCATTAAATATTTTCATTTTGTGTGTGCATAAATGTTCTTCCTATTGATAAGACTCACCCACTGTACAGATAAGCCAGATGTTCTTATCAAAAACTAAATCAAACCATAGACAAAAAGAATTAAATAGACTGTCAGCTGTGCTGCGGTTGCCTACCATGGTTACTTTAGGTTCTGGCGCAAACCGCTGGGAGGGCCGTGTAGTTACGTGGTGTTTACGCCGTAACTACATAGCGCTCCCAGCGGTGTGCACCAGAACCTATGGCAACCGCAGCACGGCTGACGGTCTATATTTAATTTTTTTTGTCTATGACCAAACCTTTTTAGTATGGTTAGTTTTGTTCCAGGAAAAGCTGTAGGTCAGGATTTCGTATGTAGAATAAGGAGGATAGCAGATACCTTACCTTGAAGAAGTGTAGGTTGGTCATAGAACATACAGGAAAAGTCACTGAACACACAATATTTTGTCCTGTAAAGGAACTTAGTCAAGTGAAGAGAAAGTGATAATCACTTCTTCTAGACTTGACAAAGTCCTCCAGGGGACAAAATATTGTGTGTTCAGTGACTCCTGTATGTTCTTTGGCCTAGCTGCATTTCTTCAAGGTAAGCTAGCTGCTATCCTCCTTATTCTACTATAGTCTGTTTAATCTAAGCTGTCTACTCACCTTTCCCAGGACTGGCTCGGGCCATAAACCTGTACTATGCACTTTTCACCCGAATTAATCACTTCTTAGCTTTCCCACTTGCTTCAGTGACTTACTGAAATCACAATTTCCAAAATGTAATCGAAAGTCAGAGAAGTACATGAAGTATAAGATCATCAATACCAAACAAGGATGAATTTGATTAAAAAACAAACAGTATAGATTTGTTCTTCCTTATTTATTCCACATCTATACTGTCGTTTCTTAACCAAATTGACCCTTCTTTGGTAATGATAATCTTGTATTTTTACAAATAAAAGGGCTTATTTCTTACAATTACCTGTAGTACTGTCGGTGATCCGGGTTGAAGTAAGGTCGGTTTAAGACAAAGTAACCATGACATCATTCCACAGAATAGATTGGGTTTACATCTCTTTTACATCTCTGATGGTTACGGGTTGAAACTGAAATTGGCATGGTATATATGCATGGTGAGTGATTTGACTGTTGATTTGTGGTTAGGGTTTTTTTCGCCAATCTGAGAGAGGTTGAGATGGTTTGCTATAGTTTTAGTTTCTTTCAGTTGTCCGTCTATTTTTAGTTGAAATTTGTGTTCGAGTGATTGTTTGGTTTTACGCTCAGAATTTACGACATTCCACAAGGTTTTGGATTTATTTTGTGTTTGAGCAATATGGTTGGTTATGGCTTTTTGTTTAAGATTTCTTAACTTTAGGTCATAATCTTTTTTTGGCAGTCATGATTGCTTTATCAGCAATAGACCCTGCAGCAAACTACATAATAGAACTCAGGCTTTAACAAGGTAAAATGAAATGTCAAAGATAAAAATGTTTATGTATAGCCTAAAACAAAATAGCAGATATCTTTCAAGAGTCAAGAGATTTATTGGTCTAAGAACACAAAATTTACAGTGCATACGACCTTGTCAAGTACAATTATAAAAATAATAAAATTAACCCCTTAACCGCCGTCTAAGTAGCCTAGTCAAAATCCGCCATTGCCACTTATTTTTGCCGTTTTTGACGATTTTTACTTGTGATTTAATAAACTGTACCAGTTGTTTTTCTAAAGAAAATAGTTATCAATATTGTTTGTAGACATCTTCAAAAACATTAAGCTTTAACAATACCCTACTAAAATTTGTGATTGTGGGGGGGGGGTGGGGTTCGGGGGTTTCTTGAGTTAGGCCTATAATAAAAATTAGGCCTACAATAAAGTCTACAACTCTAATAAATCGTCATCCTCAAGCATGTCACCAGCCATTACGACTAATATTTACTACTCATTCAACACTACCAAGTAAATAACCACCAAAAAACACAATTATAATGACACGCATAATGTACGTAAGCATTAAGTAAGCTTCCGCAAGCACAAGTTTTACTGAAACTACGAACGGAACTGATCGGGACCATTACTGACCTATAATACCACTAAAATCCACCAGATTTCAGCACTAGTCAAGCAGCACTGTCAACAACTTGTTTATGTACGTATATCAGAGATAAGGCGGGAAGTGAGCTGTTAAAAATAAAACACAACAGCTGATTACATCAACACGAGATATCTCGTGCGTGGTGGTTAAGGGGTTAAATATCACAGATTTAGCCTATATACAATAACACAGCTACCTACAAAAACAATTACCGGTAACAGAATCACAGATTCAAACATCTTTCATAATACTCCTTAATACAGTAGGAAGGATTGTTGACTAGCAAAAGGTGAATGGCTTTTTTAAAACTAGGAAAAGGCAAACATTTTTTATCTAAAGGCAAATGGTTAAAAAGTCTAACACGTACACATGAATGGCTTCTTAAAGTTTTAGCTAACCTAGCTTGATCAATATGAACATTTCTACTACTTCTAGTGTTATAGGAATGGATGTCATTATTAAAAACAAGACTTGATTAATTTGATTTTGTAAATAACAATAACCTAAAAATGTACAAACAGATAACAGTCATAACACCAGTTTCAGTAAAAAGAGGTTTACAGTGAGCTTTTTTCTTTGAGTTTGTTACTATCCTAATAGCTTTCTTTTGCAACAACAAAACATCAGTTATCCTGCCAGAGTTTCCTCATAAAATAATACCATAGTCTAACAAAGAATGTAACAAAGCATAATAAACAGACAATAAATAAGTAACAGGAACGTAAAATTTTAAAGTTTTTAACAAATATACAACTTTTGACAATTTACTGCAAACTAAATCTATTTGGCTATTCCAAGTTAAGTTACAATCTATTTGCACCCCTAGTAACTTAATGCACTTAACAAATTCATCTGAATAAGCAAGTCTACTATTTAAGGAGTATATTGCCTTTTGTGTTTTTGATTCATTAAGTTTAAAAACATTAGCTCTGAACCATGTAACAGCCTGATTAAGAGTTTCATCAGCAATACCATTCACAGTTGGCAAATCATTACTTACTGTAAGGAAAGATGTGTCATCAGCAAACATGATGGTTTTCGATGACTTAATAGTAGACGGCAGATCATTTACCATGACAAGGAATAAAATAGGCCCTAACAAAGAACCTTGTGGTACACCAAATTTGACATGAGAAGCAGATGACTTTTTACCAGCAACATCTATAATTTGGAATCTACCTTCCAGGTACGACTTAAAGAAATCAAGCTGAACGCCATGAAAACCCAGACACTGTAGCTTTTGACAAAGAATTAAATGGTCGACACAATCAAATGCCTTGCTCAGGTCGCAGGCAGTGATCTGAGCAAGGCTTCGATCCTCAAAACAACTGATTAAATCATCAACAATTGATAGAACTGCACTCGTAGTGCTCTTACCCATCTGATAGCCAAATTGTGAAGCACTAATTAGGCTCAGCTGATTTAAGTAGGTACATACCTGGAGTTTTACAACTTGTTCAACAACCTTGCCTAAAACTGGTACTATAGAAATCGGTCGGTAACTCTTTGGCACAGATTTTCACCACTTTTTTTATACAGGGAGACCACTCTTGATATTTTAAGCTTAGAGGGAAAAATACCCTGTTTAAGACACAAATTAATACAAAAGGTTAGAGGAAGCAAAATGGACTCGATTACACATTTGACTAGGTGATTAGAAAGATTAAAGATATCTTTACTTTTAG